TTTTTTTTATGGCGTTCTCAAATCATTTCTTTAAACAAATAAACACTTCTCATTAGTTAAGAAATGTGCACATATAAACACATACCTGCCCGAGTTCTTACTTGATGTCGTCATTAGAGGATTTCGGAGATCTTTAAGTTCATATGGAGATTTTCCGGGGATCGTTGCTTTGATACCACGTAAGTTTGACACCCATTTTTTAGTTATACCTAATTAGTATTTAAGAATTTGGTGGAGGAAAACCTTCAAATATATTTTTCGTGAATAGAAAATTCCGACAAAATCTTTCTTTAAGAATGAGGGTATGAGTGTCGGCATATTTCCAAATAACAGTTGCCTAATCAATTTCACAAACAATGCATGCATGGTTAGAGATTAAGTCCCGTTTGAGAAAGTGCGAAAATATTGGACAGTTTTTAGGCCACAAGAAGAAAAGATAATATATGTTTTAGGCTATGGAGAAGAAAAGAGGAAGAACGGAAAAGATAGAGAAGATGCACCACCGGGGGAGGGAGAAAATTCGGGTGGTGTTCATGGAAAAGATAAAAAAAGAAAGATATTAGGAGTACCACCACCGGGGGAGAGAGAAAATTGGGTGGTCATCGCCATAGAGAAGAAAGACGGCTAGGTTAAAAAACCTGGTGCTCTGATACCATATAGGAAGAATAGAATAGGAGAAAGAGAGAAATAATAATACGTGATAGAAACCCCCATTATGTTATGGGTTGATTACATGGAATATATATATAGAGAAATATTGCAAGGTTATAGAGTTTGACTAGGTAATTAAATCTTAACTAATATAGGTAACCGAATCATAATAGAATCCTAATATTACAAGAGTTATTATAATATAATATACTCTAATACGCCCCCGCAGTCGAAACGTGACGAACGTGAAGACTGGACAATCACTTGTTAACACGCTCCCGTAGTGGGAACGAATAGACATCAGACGTGAAGACTGGACAATAACCCGCGAAATCCAGCAGTAGTGAAATTCTTGGTGAAAATATCTGCCAAAATGATAGGAAAAAAAAAATAACATGGAGAGAAAAGATTTTTTTTTTTTATGAATCGAGAGAGAAGATACCGACTAAGAAGAAGAAGATGTCGGAAAGAAAAAAAAAATATGTATATATAAGTTACCACCAACGGGGGAGGGAGGAAATTTGGGTGGTGTTCATGGAAAAGATAGAAGAAGATAGATAGAAAGAAGAGTACCACCACCGGGAGGGAGATAATTGGTTTGGTGGTCGCCGGCCATCGAGAAGAAGAGAGGCGGCGGCGACTAGGTTTTAAGCCATGGAGAAAAAGAAGAAGAAAAGATAAAGAAGATGCACCACCGGGGGGGAGAAAATTCGGGTGATGTGCATGGAAAAGATAGAAAGAGAAAAAAAAAATAGAATACCACCACCGGGGGAGGGAGAAAATTGGGTGGTCACCGCTATGGAGAAGAAAGACGGCTAGGTTTTCACCGCCATGGAGAAGAAAGGCGGCTAGGTTAAAAAACATAAACCTGGTGCTCTCATACCATATATATTATATTATAGAACTCTTGTAATATTATATTATAGAGTTCTATAATATAATATTCTCTAGCTCTGATACCATATAGGAAGATTAGAATAGGAGAAGGAGAGAAATAATAATACGTAAGGGTTGATTACATGGAATATATATAGAAAAAGATTGCAAGGTAATAGAGTTTGACTAGGTAACTAAATCGTAACTAATCTAGGTAATTGAATCATAATAGAATCCTAATATCCTATAATATCTAATAATATAATATACTCTAACAAAATGTCAATGCATTGGATCAATATATATCAAATTAATCGGCTTTCAACCAAATCTAGATGAAATTATAATAAAAATACATACTATTTTTTCTCAAAAGACATCACTTATAATTTATTCGATTCTCATATTTAGGCTAGGGTTTAATTATGTCTGCATAAATTCTAATCATTAAACAAATTAAAATATAAAATATTTGCAATAAAGATGGAGGCAGGTATATATTGTTTTTTTTTCATCGACGGAAGATCGGACCCGCATGCAATCGAACTGCACTAGGCAAATTAAACTTCATTCTCATGCAATAGCTTGCAATCGCAAATATATTATGCTAATTATATGTGACATTGTCGAGCGGAAAGTATTACTCCCTCCGTTTTGTTTTAATTGTCGTTTTTTAGCTTTGCACAAAGATTAAGAATTTCATTAAATGTGTCTTGATTTAGAAAAATGTATACTTTTAGACTAAAATGACCTTGACTTATAATTAATAACAGAGATAAATTAGTTGAAAAATGAGTATTGGAAAAAGTTAATAAGGGTATAAATTGGAAATTGAATAATAAATGAAGTGTTGGAAATTTAAAGTGAAATATAATATGAAACATAACAAATTCTCCAAAGCGACAAATATTATGGAAATGAGGGAGTATTAATTAAGAAGGTTTAAACTCGGATAAAAAAGAAAGAAAAAAAGACATCACACTCTCTTGCTCGACAAATAATTGTGGCACTGACATTTGAATCGTGTAACAAATAAATACTTACTATGATATTCATGATTTCAATCACGAGACTAATTAAATTGTATATGTAATGTTATATTATAGATTCAATTCTTACTATTGAATGCATTTAATAACCTCGATCATTTAAATACGAAGCATATAATAACTAAAACTAGTTTATGATGAATTATTATTAATATTAATATTATATATTATTATTAATATTAATAATATTATTTTCATCCCCCCTGGTCTGCGGTGGAGGGTGTGGTGTACATATTAGAGAGCAGAGATAGCGAAAGGGAGTGGTCAGCAAGATTTTGTTTCATCGTAAATAATTGCAAATCACCCCCTCTTCTCTTCTCTTTTTGCTAATTAATCCTTCCAAAATACTTCTTCTTCTCCATTTTTTTTTAATTATTTAATATTAATTAATTAATTACCCTTTTCTTTAATTTTTTTTAAATGAAAAAAGTACATACTGATCTATTTTGACGATGGGGTTCTACTTCTGCCCTAGCTGGCTACCCTCTTCTTTTTTTCTTTTTTTCACTTCTGCACAAACATTAATTTTCTTTTCAAAAATTAGGTTTTCCTTTTTATTTAGTTATTTAATTTTAATAATTATTTTAGGCCTTGGTTGTCTTTATATAGTTGCAGCAGTTGTGCTGTTCTGATGTATATTACTCATCTTCAAATTAAACCAATCTAGAGAGAGTTTTTAGAGAGAGAGAGAGAGAAATATCTTCTTCTTCTTCTTTATCTTGTTTGTGGGTTAAATTTAGAGAGAGATTGTTGAACAGATCAATGGCGGAGCAGCTGTGTTACATTCCTTGCAACTTCTGCAGTATTGTTCTTGCGGTAAATTAATATATTAATCAAAAAAACATTCTCTCTTGTATTTTCTGAGGTTCATTATCTGCTTTATTACAACAACAACCTCAAAAGTAAACCATAAATTCCTAAAAATTATATATGCATGGAGATATAGTCATGTCTACATATACATATATACATGTGCATTTCTTTTTCTTTTTTCTTTCTTTAGTAAAAGAGCAGCAATTCAGTTATGATTAAAGCTGACCCTTTGATTCAGAGATCGATAATTAATTAATAAATTAATTAATGATCAAACAATAGAAAGAGGGTTTCTTGTTTTTCTATGTTTTTGGTGATACATACAGTCATGTGTCTACATCGTCCCTGCCACCCCTTTTTCTTTATTTTGCACTGTCATAAAAAAAAAAGAAAAAAAAAAGTCATAACTTAGGCCCTGAATTTGTAAGAATCACCACTTCTAGAGAGAGAAACCACTGCATAAAATTAAATATTTTTTTTGTGTTTGGTTATATTTAATTAAGCTGGTGATGAAGACAAGTCTTTGAGAGGTGGATTTTGCTGTAGCTTTTTTTTTTTTTTTGTTTCTTTTGCTAAAAAGATTTCACCAACTACTGTCAAAATTAATCTCTCTTCTTTTTTTTTTTTTATTTGAATTTTCTGGACCATTTTAATTTTTCTCGAAAAGTCGAAAATAAAATCCAATTGTCATGAAACTGATGAATTTCTTTCGAATGACTTTAGGGTTTTCTTTTTTTGACCAGCTAGCTAGCTAGCCCTTTTCAGATACATAGATTTTCTCAAAATTAATGTTCTTGTTTCTGATTCAAGGTGGGATCATAATTCTGGGGTTTATGGTTGTTAATCTGTATTAATTATTTGTATTAATTCCTCTCTCTCTCTCTCTCTCTAAAACTCTCTCTCTGATCTGTGTGGGCAGGTGAGTGTTCCATGCAACAGCTTGTTTGATGTAGTGACAGTTCGATGTGGGCACTGTACAAATCTTTGGAGTGTGAACATGGCTTCTACTTTCCACCCCTTCTGGCCAGATCATCACCTTCTTCACCAGGTCCCTTTCTCTCTCTAAAACTCTCTCTCTCTAGATCTCTCTCTAGGCCCCCCCTCTCTCTGCAAAAACATTCTCAGCTCAATTTGTGGGCGATATATCATCAATACATTATTATATTACAGTAATAATTCATTAATTATACTATTATTATAGGCTTCTGAAATCTAGGGTTTCTCGGTTTTCTTTTTCTTTTTTGGCTTCTCTTATATTTTTTTAATAAATAAATTAAACATCGAAAATTATTTGTTTGTCCAAGATCTTAGTTACATCTGAGAACCCTAGCAGCAGCTCAGCCCTAACAGCCGCCACAATCTAACTATACATTCACACTACAGATCTGCTTATTTATTAATTAATTAATTATTTATTTATTTATCTTTTTTATGACAATTTGATTTGACTGATGTCTTTGGATCTTAGGACTTAGGTTCTTCTCTCATTTGTTTTCCTTAAAATAATAATAAATAAAACAAATTTCTTTTACATCAGAAAATGTCTGCTGTTATCAAAACACTTTATTTATTTATTTAATTTTCTTTATTAATATTTTGTATTTTAGATTTAATAACTGTAAATCCGGCTTCTATTTTCTTCATCATTCCTAACTGATTCAGTCACTTCATTGTCGTTATTTTATTTCCTTTATATATAATAATATATATATTTCTAATTATTCTTCTGAAGTCAATTGTTTTAATTTTATATACCAATAAATTTTAATTTATTTTTATGTGAATTACTGATGATGATCTGCAGGCACCAAACTACAATTCGAGTAGCGAGTACAAGGTTGACTTAGGTGGCTCCTCTTCCAAATTGAACAACAAGATGTCAATCCAACCCTCCATCCCAACCAAACTACCCGAGCAAAGAACCGTAAATCGTCGTACGTTATTTTATTAAATTCATATTAATATTCATTCATGAAATAAATATATGAATTATTAAGTTTTTCTTTTCCTCATGTTTAATTTATATGGATCAATATATTTTTTTGCAACAGCCCCGGAGAAGAGGCAACGAGTCCCGTCTGCATACAACCAGTTCATAAAGTAACGGAAACCCTCGAATTTCATCCCTCTTTTATTATTTTTTTTTAATTCCTCTAATTTATATTATTGCAGAAGATATTACAAAAAAAATATTATTTTGATAGAATAATAATTCTAAATATGAATAATTTTCTAGAGAGGAAATTCAAAGAATCAAGGCAAATAATCCTGAGATCAGCCACAGGGAAGCTTTTAGCACTGCTGCAAAGAATGTAAGTAGGGAGCATTTATTATTAAATAATAAATTCAGACATTTATTTAATTATACAGTAATTAATTAATTAATTAAATTAGTACTACTGAATATATTTTGAGTGATAACTTGTGGATTTGTTTTCTATATATAGTGGGCACATTTCCCTCACATCCACTTTGGACTTATGTTGGAGACAACTAACCAAACTGCTAAGCTTAATGAGGTAATTAGTTAATTAAACACTTGATTTAAAATTAGAATAAATTAATATATACTATGTCTAATTAATGAATTTGTTTTCCTTCAGTTATATTTATTTATTTAATTTGAAATGTAAAATTAAATACTAGCTATATTTTAATATTGGCAGGGGTCTGAGAAGCATAAAATGAGAAGGGCTGCAATTGTAAACAAGTGAAGAAATTCATCAGAGCTTCAATTCATCACTATTTATTTAATCCATCATGTTTGAAGAAATTTAATATATATATATATATATATATATATATATATATATATATATATATATATATATATATATATATATATATATATATATATATATATATATATATATATATATATATATTGGTATTTATGTATTGTGTTTGTAATAGTATGAAATTGTGATCAGTCTATAGACATTCTGATTAGTGTTATTTGGCAATGAAATTAAATGTTTAGTTCCAATATACATTGCTTATTACTTTCGCATATGTATTCAAGCAAAAACAAATCGATTAATTCGGTCATTTTTTAGGTCATATTACGAGAAAAAAAACTCCTCGTGTTTGGATAATTACAACCACTTCTTTCAACTATGTATTATCTTACGAACAAACCCCTCCTTCAACATATAAATTTGACACTGTAAGATTGAGATTGGACGTGTAAGACAACACATAGTTGTGGGTGATTGTAATTATCCAAAAACAAATCGATTAATTCGGTCATTTTTTAGGTCAAATTACGAGAGAAAAAAACCCCTCGTGTTTGGATAATTACAACCACTTCTTTCAACTACGTATTATCTTACGAAAAAACCCCTCCTTCAACATATAAATTTGACACCGTAAGATTGAGATTGGACGTGTAAGACAATACATAGTTGTGGGTGAT